CCACACTAAGCGTGTACAAAACAACCCAGTTAAAACCAACCTCACAACTAAACGTGCCATTATAAAATAACAGACTTTGGTAAAAGAAAGCATCATGACGCAAACCAAATTTGTGATCTGCACTAATTCAAATACAGCTAGACCGTCCACTAAAATGAGCAGAACAGGTAAATCTGGAGACCAAAAATTAACAGACAGATAGATGGATGGATGTAAAGGCAAACAGAGTGGTTACAGTAGGTACTGAAATGCCAATAAATTCACACACTTTCTGCATCAAATATCTTAGTGCATTACAGCAGCAATAGCAAATAATATTGAAAACTCTGCCCCTTGCCTTCTCTAATATTTGCCATAAAGGTCTACAAACAGACTGCTGCAGAATGTTTATAAAACAAAGGAAAACATTTCTAAACAGGTCCATTTTCTGGTACAAAATATTAAAAATGATAGTCGGTCAAAGTAAACAATAGAGTATTACTGTCATTCACATGAAGACAAGGCAAGCAGGGGCAACCTCTCAATTTTTTTTTTAACAGGTCAGAAGAGTTTAAAGATCGTATTAAACCCAAATCTAATGCACACTGAACTCTCTCCTATGATATGCAACGGGAGTATTCTTTCCTCATAAATCTGCATGCTAATCCAGATCATTTATTAAAGATGTGTATTTCATATCTGTGGAGTATATCACATAACTTCTTGGCAAAGGTAATAGCATTTTTTCACTAACTGTTAAAATTCCTTGTGTAAGTTTAAACAGCCCTTTCAAGCAAACAAAGCAGCATCGGGAATCACAGATCCATCGCCGCGAAGTGCGCTGAGCTTCGTCAGTGAACTCATTTCCAACAACCCTTACTACAGTACGAACCCGTTCCAAATCACATATTGCTTTCAATGATATTTAAGTGTTTGAAACACCTCACAAGAGGTCTGACAAACTCAGTCTCAGTAAACAAAAGTAGTCCCTTGGTAAAGCCTCTCAAAGAATTTAGCAGTATTTAAAATAAAAGCATGCAGCAGAACATACTAGGAAGAGAAAGAAAACAAAGGCTCCTAGCCGCATCTGGACCAAATTTGACCTTTGTTAACATATTTGGTAGTAATCTACAAACGTTACATACTGCTTCGTCAAGAGTTTTGGCCTGCTGGCTCATTCAAATGATAGGTTCGGTGTTACGATGAAATATTAACAAAAACTCAAAGATGAACACTCACCGTGCTGTGCTGCACGTGCCCGTCAGCTCGGGCAGACGAGCCCAACGGCCACCAAGCAACTGAATGTATTCTCATTTTTTCCAATCAACACCTGCATGGTTCTAGGTTACGTATTGATGTCTTCACCTGACATCTGCAGCATGGGACCTTCAAAATTTCAATCAAAAACTAAAAACAAAAGCCCACCAGAACTTAACTACTGGATTTCTAGAGAATACTAATCAACATTTCACTGAAGGGGAATTTGTTCTGGTTCAGTCAAACCAGGCAAAGCAAAACCCCATTAAACTGGCCCTGGGTTTTTAAGTGAATTTGATCTGGTTATTCTTTGTTAGCTAGAGCTGTGGTACTGGAAGTCAACACGACCTCTCTAGACTTAGTATTATTATATCTCACTCCAAGCTCTAGCTGCATGGCAGAGGAAAACATGAAATTCTAGAAAGCATTTGGGGGGGAAAAAACCCAACTATCAGCCTCTTCATGTAAAACATGTTAGTACAAGAAACAACGTATCAGAGAAAACTTCTTACGGAAAATCGCATTTCAGTGAAGAGAGATGTCCAGCCAGCATTAATGATGTTAAATTCAGAAACAAAACATGAACACATGCACAGAACTCGCTAAAGGCTATCACTAAATGATGTAGGTGTGTACGTGTTACACGGGCACCTATAGCACAGGTGTCTGAAATAACATTATCTGCTCCCATCTACCTTTAAAACTCACAGCTCACACAGATTGCTGGATATTAGCAAATCGTTTTAATGCCATTATGAGAAAAAAGAGATGAGCTATAAGGAGTCTGACCAGCCATTAAAACAACTCAAACAAGTTGTTTCCCCCAGTAATCCGAGCATTAACAGAGTATTTGAACAGTTCCCGATTCTGCTGCGTTTCGGGGAGCCTGTCCGTTCCAAAGCTGCCCCTCCACGGCCGGCAGCGAAGCCGGAGCCTCCGCTCCCCGGCACGCTCGCTCCGCACCGTGGGAGGAGAGCAGCGGGAAGGCAGACGCCGAACCCAGAGCTCCGCCGAGGAGGAACGTGCCCACCGACGCCCACCGTCCCTTCCTCCGCCCTGCCCGGAGCCCGCCGAGCAGCCGGTGCAGATAGCGGCCGTGCCACAATAGGAATAAATCACAGAACGCTTTCCCTCCCATCACGGCAGGTGTAATTAAGCAGCCCACCAACAATGCTTATGTGTTGGTGAGGGAACTTGGGTCTAACGACTAATCTCACTCTTAATAATACTCCACATTACTACGAAATGGTGAACACTCCCCCAGCGCAGTATTAGGCACATTTAGGAACTGCTTGAAATTTGGAGGAGTGCTGTCTGAAGCCTGCGCGTTCACCCTGCACGCATACACCAGGGAGCTGCTGGAACAAATACCACGGATGCAAATCCCCGTCGACTAAAAAGGTTTAAAATCTCCATCACTGGATAAATTAAGCCTTTTCTTAAGACAGTTTCAAACACTTGGGAGTATGGCAATGTAAAGTTAAATTATTTCTACTAACCGAGGAGAACAGCCTGTTTTGTCTCACCTATTGTATCGTTATCACTTCCAACAACAGTTCAAGTAAATTCTCCACTGGTCTATATGAATTTCCTCATCCGAAGAACCAGCCCATTCAAATCCTTCAAGTGACTAAAGTGTGAAACAAAATGAGCGCCTCTATGCATTGTTGTAAAACTGGTTTGCTATTTTATGTTAAGCCTCCAAAATACTAAAACATATCCTTATATAGGAACACATTAAATGGTTTTCCTTCCAAGTGATGAACTGTTTTAACAGCAACATTGTGGTTATCGCGACCAGAAAGCAATTACTTATTTCACTAGATGTTACTAAGAATAGTGGTGATCAAAGTGAACGTAGGAGTGCTGTTATAGACGTTAAAGAAAGCATCGCTCCATATGACACATATACACAAAATATACATAATTTTAAACCAAATTACACTTTTAATAAATGTGCTGTTCAAGATTAAATCACTGCTCAGGATTTTTTTAAGAGCCATGAAATTAAGATCTATGGAATAAGTTACTCTTTTAAAATCTATTTCTAAATACAGCACGGTGCGTAGATCTGCATATCTGTACGTGTGTGTGTGTGAGAGTGCACACATAACCAGGGATGCGTGTGTGTGTGTTGTGAGAGAACGTATATATGTGTTCAAGTCTGCCAAGGTAGAAGTGACAGGAACTGTGATTTGTGCTAACTAGCTATTGATCCAGTCAGATCTAGATGTTGTGTACAAGAAACAATAAAAGAGAAGGGGCCAGGAAGGATGCTGTGTGCAACTCCATTTAAAAATGGAAAAGAAGGGCCCCAAACAAACCAATTTATGTCCTTGCCTGGGTGAAGCATGGAGAATGCTGATGGGCTTCCCAGAGTCTGCTGTGCATGCTAAACACTCCCGCTTGAAATGAGAGTCTCCTGCACTGGGCATTAAACATGAACAAAGAGACAAACCGTGGGGGCTAGGATTCACGCTTCAGAAAGCCAAAGCTGGAAAGCCAACCAGAACTGGGGGTAGGAAATTGCCCAGTTTTCAAACCAGCTCCCTTTTGATTTTCCCAACACCTTTCTTAGCAAAATTACTAAACGCGGAGGACTGTAAAAAGTCAGTCTGTACAACCAGATGTAATTAAAACAATTTTAAACTACACTAGCAGTACCAAAACATCAACTTTACTAGGCACAATTAATGAGTTTATATTGCGTAAATTACGCACGTGTACTTAGAGCACATCAAAAAATTGCCTGCATGCATTCATCCAGCAGGTACCTGCACGTGCATCTATTGTAATATTCACACACACGGTCAGGCAGCTTGGAAAACACGGCTTTGATAAGATAAAATAGAAACCAATTAAATCTATAATCATCTTTATCTTAAACAGCTTTTATAACAGAGGGCTTTCCATTAAAATATTTTTTCCTGAGCTTGGGGAATTATGATGCCCTCTGGACACGGGGAAGGATCAAAAATGACAACTAATGTTGAAATTAAACATCTGTCAACTAAGCAAGTTTTATACCAGCAGACTCAGAGCCTTATTTTAAATTGCCTTTCTATTAAAGAAAAAAAAATATGTTAAGAGCCTTTCAGTTTGGTCTCGCACTGCCAGTAGGCTCTTAATGCAAGCAGGGAAATAACTGGAATCGGAGGGACAGCACCACTAACAAATTTGTGTTTTGACGGTTTAGGAAGATCTCTGTAACAGTTTGGGGGAAATGGCTGGAAGGCTCGGCCGGCACGGGGCCCTGCGGGAGCCCCCTCCTCGGCACCCCATGCCCGGCGGGGCTCTGCGCGGAGCC